ATAAAGCATTATATAATAAACTGCACTAAATATAAATTGGAGAGGAAACCCATTGAGGAGTATTTTCTAAAACGCAAACAACAGATTACTGCAAACAAATTTTTAAAGGTAGATAGCAATAAAGACATCCAAAAACTGGTTAAACAGTTCCTTATTAAAACAAACCAAAACTAAAAAGACCAGATTAAGGATTTACTTAGTACACCAGAAGGAACTGATCAGATGGTAACTCTGGACACCCTTGCGTAAGGGAGGTAGTGTAAGTATGATGAGTGCATAGATGTGAACATGGACACACACACAAGGATGAGTGCGTGTAGTATGAGTGCATTTATGTATAGGATGGATACATAAGACACGGTGTATGTAGGCGGATGGTAAGGGATCACGTATGGACAGGACAGTGGGAATATATATAGCTGTGCGAAAGGTAAAGATGAACGAGTACATGGATATAGAAATGTATTACTGTATGCATGTATATGTGGGTGTGAGTGTGCATGCGTGTATATATATATATATATATATATATATATATGGGGGCATGTATATTTATATATTTGTGTGTGTATGAATGACAGTGCACTCAAAGAACCCATACATTGTGTTGCTGCATGTCTGTTAATTAATGAGAACAAATAAAATAAAGTGTGTACGCAGCAAGAACGTCATCAACACACACCATCCACCAGAACATGATAAGAGAGTACCGGACAGGTCACATACCAGTAACGGGACATAACTTAAAAGTGACACGACCAGACGAAATTACAGACATAGCGACACAAAACGCACAAGACATGGAAGAGTGAATGTCACTACGTGTGGATGTACTCGTTTTTTATGAATGTAAGTACAGGCATACAAACAAAACTGCCATGGAGAAGGAAATATATGTTAATGAGGAAAGATTGGAAGTGGTGGAAAATTTCGAATATCTTGGGTCACTGGTTACCAACAATGGTGACACAATGAAAGAAATTAAACGGCGACTATCAATCGCTCTTCAAAGACTAAAACAACTGAATAAATTATGGAATTGTACAGATAGAATTACAAAGGTCAGATTTTTAAGAGCATGCATCTTTCCCATTGCAACCTACGCCTGTGAGACCTGGACACTTACTAAACAAGCGGAACAGCGCATAAATGCATTTGAATATAAATGTTACAGACAAGTTCTAAGAATATTTTGGGTAAAGAAAAGAACAAATGCATCCATACTTCAAGAGCTGAATATTGAAGAGGGTTGGCTAGTAAAGACAATAAAACAAAGAAAATTGAAATATTTTGGTCACTTGAAACGTCATGGAAGTCTAGAGAGAACAATAATGGAGGGGTATATGCCTGGGAAGAGAGGAAGAGGAAGGCCAAGGAGAAGATGGGTGCAGGATGTGGCAGATGATCTCCAGATGGGTGTATCAGACGCAGGACATCTTGCTCATGATAGGAAGGTTTTCCGGAGGGTTGTTATGGCAGCGAGGTTCCGCGAGGGACATGCTACTGAATGAATGAATGAAGTACAGGCATTGGTAGATGCATATGAAAGAGTTTGCGTGTGTACGTAATGTCAATTAGGTATGCATACACGGATAAGTATGAAAGGACGTGCAAATATGTAGTGTTGTCTGCGTGTATGAGTACTCGAGTGCATGTACGCATACACCTAGTTGGGTGCGTCCATATACTCTGGGGATTCATACACAAAACCATCCCATTCCACAGCATGCATACAACATGCACATGACCGACAGGACTCACAACAAGATATGACTGACAGCAAATAAAGAAAACAAGTGACTCGATAATGACATGACTAGAACGCATAACCACCAATACCACCCCATCACTGGGATGATAGCAAAGGTTGGTAACGTGATATACATAGTCCCGGCAAAAGGCCACGCTAGAATCCAGCAAGACGGCAACGACGAGAAATGACTGAATGGCCTCCCGCCCCCTTTCCCCTCACCTTTCCCTAACTTTTTCGGATGCACTATGAGTTTAACCCCCCAACCCATTCCCACAGAGAGCACCTGAGTTCGTTACCCAACATGCCACAGCAATTCTCATCGCCGAACATTTGGATCTCAAAGCGTAAGCTGGATGCTCCGGTTATATGGTATTTACGTACACCGGAGCTTAGCTGTCAACACAACCCGATCACATAATAACAGATGACGACTGGACCCGCTTAAGACTCCACATAAACTCTCACACACATATCCATGACTAACCCGTTCATATTACAGGAAAACAACTATAAGACCACTATGGTCACACGCGGAAAATTTTCACATTTCGGAACTATTCAAATTCAAAAACTGTTTTCAGTACTTTTTGGCAAAATTAAAATACTAAAAATTTTAAAACAATAAATGGTGGTCCAAAAGACGTTGTGTATGGAAGCTCGCTCTCCTTCGAGATACGCCTAGCCAGATCAAGTGGAGACAGAACAAACAGGAAACACTAAGAAAGAAGAAGGAAGACATGCACCAGTGACAACAGGACGAGCGGTTTGATTCGGGTGGAAGCATCAAGCCCAGAAATGGCATAAACACTAGTATTCAATCACGAAAGTGACGCAAATAACCCAGACCACAAATATAGGCGGAGACTGCTAGCAGCCTAGCAGTCTGAACGTGGTCGAGCTTTTCTTTTTTTCTCAAAAGGACTTGGACTTGGACTCAATTCATCTTTCGTTCATTCACTTATGTCTTTCATGGCGCTTTTGTTTATTTATTTTAAAGTATTTTGTGACATTCTCGTAATACGTTTATATTGTTTCTATACTTTCGTTTTAATTGGTTTGAGGTAATTTTTTCCAATATGAGCGAACATAAAGATGTTAATGTTAGCCTAGATAGTAATAATGAAAGATAATACTCCGGCTGGGGAAGAGAGAGAGAGAGAGAGAGAGAGAGAGAGAGAGAGAGAGAGAGGGGGGGGGGGGAGAGAGAGAGAGGGGGGGGGGGGGCAAAAGTTAACAGCTGCTTACGAAAGAAAAGTATCATGAAAATTCTCACAGATGAAAAAAATAAATAAATACATTAATAAAAATATTGGTACAACATTGATGTATCGGACAAAGAATTTCAATTTTGAACAACTATAAGATAAATAATTCATATATATAATATTAGTTAGTTAGTTAGTTAGTTAGTTGGGTAATCATCATTGCACTCCGGACATTCATATATATATATATATATATATATATATATATATATATATATATATATATATATATATATATATATATATATATATATATATATATGAGGGTGGGAGGGGGTGGTGGTTTTCAGAGATGGTGGGTGGATGGATATGTGTGTGTATGTGTTTAACGTAGTTTTAACATTTCAATTTAAAAAAAAATGAAAAAAATGTGGTACCTTTTGATACTGACCAGATAGCTACACTACACATAATAATAGAGCAAAGCACCGAATTCACCACTTTATATTGGTTTCAAAGCTTTTGACAGCACTGATGTGGATTCTCTCTGAAAATTGATGGGACACTATGAGATCCCACAGAAAATTACTAACCAAGTAAAAACAACAAATACAGACATGAAAGCATACAGATATATTTGAAATAAGTGCGGGTGTGCGAAAGGGATGTCTTTTGTTGATTAAACACACACACACACACACTTGCAATAGATTGGATTATGAATACAGCAACAGTTAACACCAAGAATGGAATTCACTGGAGGCATACAAAAGAGTTTGATGATTTAAACTTCGCTGATGATATTCCTCACGGAATCAGTAGCGTGATAAATTAAACATACTTTCTTCGTGGCGCAGACTAGGATACATTTGTCTTTAGTTAATGACTTTCTCTTGTCAGTTTTCTAACGAGCCAACATGTTTGAAACAATGATCGCCACGGACCAGAGGTTGAAGCCTCACAAGAAAGATCATTTAATGCATTACAACTGGCAGTTATCAGGGGGCCAATTGCTAAGCCCCCGCGAGCCAGATTAGGCTCGCAGGCCTCCAGTCAATAGCCTGTCACAACTCGGCAAGAGAACGCGCATACCAGGTGTCTTCAGAATCAGAATATTGAAAGAGGCTCCCTTCCGTGAATGTGCTGACCCATTACCTTCTTAACGTTCTCGGGGGCTGGTCCAACCTGTTCTAACTCACACGTATCTTACTCCCGTTGTGCGTTTGAACCTTTTTGCCGACTTTAACTTTCACCAAAGTCTAGATAGGGCATACATAATAGGTTCCGGGTAGTTAGCATCTTTTGAATATTCTCTCCAGGTCATGCCAGTGTTTTGAGAATTGAGCAGGCAGATTAACTGGTCGGTTCTGCATAACTTGGTGGCGAATTGATGTTTGACAAGCTGGGCGTTGTGATGGCCTTCTGGGAGCCAGTGAACAGTACGGAAGAGCAAAAAGATCTTTTACGGTCTGAGGAGTATGGCACTGCGAGGAGTTACCAGGGTATCTGGCCGACGCTCAACGCTGAAGGAAAGGGCGGGTCGGCGATCAGACAGTTACTGGTGCCAACGAGATTGGAACTCTTCGTTTGCTGCTGAAGATAGGAACGGAGCGCTTATGGGGGTATCCCGAGTGCTGTGGTGTAGATTCTTAACTAAACTTTTAGCTTTTAAATGGGGCATATGTTTATTTAGCCACGACCGGCGAGACACAAAATAACACACAAAGTAACCAGAATTTGATACGAAACTATTACGATATTTCATTATTGTGCAAACAAATAAAGCAAAATAATAACAAACTGCACAATAGAATATTAAAATGCCGATATATACTACCATAGTGTGCGATTTGTTATTCGCGATATTTGGGCGACTAAACTATGTTGTGTCTGAGCAGACGATATGTTATTTATTATCTGGTATCACTTCCTGTGTTCCGTGGATCAAGTTGGTAGATAGGAGGTGCGTTTCAGGGTAACAAAACATGACCATCGCTCAGTTTTGATTGAAGTCCTTCGGTTTCCCTTGTGTTTGTAACACAATGTCATCCAAAGAAAACCCACAGAACAGTGCCTGTGCTAATGAGTCCTCCAACCACAGAGTCATTGGAGACGGGAGTTTACCTAGGCCGCCCAATTCAGTCACTCAAAGCAGGGTGCTGAACAAGTTGCTCAAGAATCATGAAATTCCCGACAACAGGGAGTCTGCTCAGACAAACCACGGTCCAGGTAAAGTAAAACTGATCTCATTTATAATATCCCCATTAATATTCTGTCAATTGAGTGAGACGTATTAGAGAGCAAAACACAGTTAAAGTTCGAAAAATTTACGTTTGTTGTGTGTACTTTCTGTTGAAGACATTCTCTGCTGTGTCAAGTTTCACTGATCAAACCATACATACATGCTTAGTGTATACCATGTTTTAAATAGTAGGTATATCTTTGTCTCCCTCTTTCCCCCAACCCACCCCCGTCTATGTCTCATTGTACAGTGTGTACCAAAGCACAACAGACACATCATGATTTACTGGTCAGATTCCCTGTAAGAAGAAAAGCATCCAGGCCTGCTTTTTTGTTTTCTTCTGCTTCTCTTTACACTTCAATCAATAGTTATAAATTTAAACAATTATGCTGTATGCGTGGCCCATTACTTTATTTTATGCTAATAAATACTTTAAAAGTCCCATATTCTGGAACTTCCAGCCAAAAGGGCTGATAGCCGGCTGACGCTCACTATCTGAAAAGTTGTTTCTTTCTAGCTTGGCTTTTCTGATTCAAATTCCCCTTTTATGGACAGAGTCCAAAGGTTCCATTGCCAAGCTACTGAGCTGAGTGCTTGGTGCGACACTGAGCTGTGGATTACAAATAGAAGTTGATTTATATCTGAGGATAATCATGCATCAGAAAGTGGCCAAGGGTCTGGTTGATACCAGCGCTCAGAGGAAAGGCAAGGTGGACATTTACAGTCAGACAACTACTGGTTCCATCAATACTGCAACTCTGAGCTGAAGACGGGGATGGGGCCTTCACACGAATGTTCTGAGTGCTGTAATGTTGGTTGTTAACTCAACGCAGCTGTCCCATTTAATTTTCTTTGACAAAATAATGTCTTCACGGGCTGTAATAGCCGCATCTAATAAACAAATATTTTGCTGTGTTATCAGATCAAGGAACAGAAGATTCAGGCACATCACCTGCCAATGGTCATCAGTCATCTCAGGCTTTACCAGAAACTAGTCAGCTGACGTTTAGTCCACCAGAAGTAACCAGTGCATTGTCAGTCAATGCCAAAGAATTTGTTCCACGATGTCAGGTGTGTTTATTATTAAATTGTTGCATCACAGTTTCTTCTTCTCCTTCTCCTTTTTCTCCTTTTTCTTCTTCTTCTCCTTTTTCTTCTCCTTTTTCTTCTTCTTCTTCTTCTTCTTCTTCTTCTTCTTCTTCTTCTTCTTCTTCTTCTTCTTCTTCTTTTTCTTCTCCTCCTCCTCCTCCCTCTTCCTCTTCTTCTTCTTCCTCCTCCTCTTCCTCTTCTTCTTCTTTCTATTCCTCCTCTTCCTCTTCTTCTTCTTCTTCTTCTTCCTCCTCTTCCTCTTCTTCTTCTTCTTCTTCTTCTTCCTCCTCTTCCTCTTCTTCTTCTTCTTCTTCAGTGATCTCTAGTCATGCACTTAATCCACTGTCATTCTCACTACTGTCAGTATTTACCACCTTTTAGGGCTGTGTGTAGACAAGGGGTCATGAGCCTGAGGATTTAAGGCTTCATGGCTAGTGCTGTCGCCACAGACTGTAAAGGTTGGGATGTTTAATTTTGCCCCCAACAGAAAAATTCATCACTTTACAAGGATCAAACCCGGGTCCCCCACATGAGAGCCCAACATTGTAACCACTTGGCCAGCTGAATCCACTAGGGGCCATAAACTGAGATGTCAACTTGAAGTCTTTCAGAATTCCCCAACACCTTATCAGGTCTGCTATGAATGGCCACATGTGGTTTCAAGCTTCGCCAGCAGTGGGCGGTCTTGCAGGACATCTTCTGTAGTCTATTCAGCATAATCACACTGGCAGAGAGCTTTTAGGGTCATACTTTATTTATGCGAATGTCGAATCTGCAAAGTCAAGTGCGTAACTGAAAGATGGTTACTTGATCTGTTCTGTTCAGGTATTTAATGACATCTTTTTCATGGTTATACCCAGTGTTCATTTTTCAACCATTTTCTGATTTTCTCTGAAGTTTCCTTTTCAGTATAAAATAATGCATCATGTATCGGAAGGTAGTCTTTTAGCAGAGTCTGCCATTAAGAATTCAGTTGTTATTGGATCACATCAGTATTCTTGTCTTATCTAGGCCATTCAGTTACTTATCATTTCCTGTGGCTTTGTTTTCCCCTTTAAGCTTGCCAGTTGTCACCAAGATTTTGAGTTTATTCCTTCTCATATGTCCAAAAGATCTTGACTGTCTTTAAATTTCTTTAATCAGTTTATGGTTTTTTTAAATTCTGGTTTTTATCTTTTGCGAGGAAGGATGCCTATTTGTTTTTCTATCATTATTTTAACAAACATTAACATTATGATTCTAGTTTTTAAACATGGAATAATGCACCTTTTTTTTTCTTTTTTTGTGTGTGATTCAGCCTGCACTTGAATCTTATTCCTACCCTGACCAGAATTGTGATCAAGGGGATCAGTTTAACTTGTCAGCAACAGCAGCTGAATTTGTGCCGAATGTTTCCGATGAGTACAACTACAGCGACAACTTCTATCGGGTATGCTTTATTAGATTGACAGCAGTACTCATTTTTAAAAGTCATGACTTTTCTTTAATTTTGTGCATGTGTGGTAATGTATATGTACAGATGCGCATGCATGCTTATCAGCTGTTTGGAAATGAGAACAGTAAAAGCCTTTTGCAAGATAGGAACAGTAGCAATCAATAATTATTTCAAAAGAGTGCAGCTGCAGCCACTTTATCGCATTAGCTTCATTAAGTTGACAGTCGTGCTGGTTATTGAATGTTAACATATTTTATACTTCATTATTTGTTAATACCAGATACACTCCTGAAAAGTAAAGGCGGCCGGCGTGATGCTGACCATGTCACCCATCAAGTGCTAATTGGTCTATATAAATAGTCTAGCCCTATATGCCCAAAACACCTAAAGGCGTGGAAAAGGGTCCTTTACTTCTTCACTTTACTATTTGTTAATACCCGCACCTCCCCATCTGTCCAGATGGTAGTGCTATAGGGAGGCATGGCAGTCACAGGAATGGCGATGGTGAGTGTGACGAGCAAGACTTGTTTGCTTAATAAAGTCTTCCACAATTAGGACATGGGATTCAAGACCACTGTCGCTTTAACACGGCATTCATGGCTTAGGCGTTGGCGAGTCCGACTCGTAATTCTAATGCACTGCGATCGAAACCCACTGCTGGCTGAGTGGATTTTTATCATGGTATGGGGCGTCGCAGCTGGCCCAGCCTAAAATGGGTACCAGGATGCATGTCCTGGGAAAGTAAAGATGGTCGGCGTAATTATGACTACATGACCCACCTAGTGCCGATTGGTCTGTAAATATATGGGTGTTCTTCCCATATGCCAGATGCACCTAAAGGCGTGAAAAGAGATCTTTACTTTACCATTGTCGCTATAGCAAGTATTTAACATTCTGCTTCTTAGATGCTTAGCTCTTAGCCTATCTGCAGTCATTTTCTCCTTTATCATAGTTGTCTGCCTGATCACCCACTTCCCTCCTTCTCCCCCCCCCCTTACAGCCCAGTCCATGGCATCCTGGTTACACGAACGAATCCTGCCTCGATACCCGTATCTTTAATGTCTCACCTGCACATATCTGACACATGATAAGGCAGATGCGGTCAAGGCATTATAGGAGCATGTGTACAATTTGAGTAAACGGATCATCATATTCTGGTGAGAGTGATGCAGCGAGGAGTGATAAGGGGATCTGGCCTATACTCAGTGCTTAGAGGAAAGGCAAGGCGGACATATACTCAGATTGCTGCTGGCATGATTGATTTTGAAACTCTGCGCTGGCTGCTGAAGATGCGGACGGAGCACTTATGGGAATGCCCCAAGTGCTGTGATATCGGTTCTTGAATCAACTCAACTCTGCACATATCTTTATATCATTATAATGGCCGACCTCAGTGTCTTCTACCCATCTGAAACACAGACAGAAAACAAATGAGTCGGTCCGGTTTGAAGCAGATAAAAGTGGCAAATTGATTAAGAGTATTAGACGTTGACAGTTGTGATTCCTTTTGTGTGTTGTTTGGTGAAGTAAACATGAGAATTTAGGAGGTTGTCAAACATAACAGCAAAAGAACTAGAAATAAACAGACAAAAACCTATAATGTGAATTAGTATAATAGAGACAGTAACATAGACATGATACAAGACTCTTGTGAATGATCACAATTTATTAGCATGATACATGACCATGCAGGGTCCAGCTGATGGCCGCAGCACAATATGGCAAATGCTATTTTTCCCTCGTTCACCTTTGGAAAAGCAATTCGGGTATGGTTAGGTTCTAAACAATGTCCCCAAATCAGGTCTAATAACCTTTTTCTGACACGTGCAGTTTAATGTTGGTTCTGTTCGTGCCTGCATAGCATTTAATAGGCCTGTAAATGAATATCTTTACTAAAAATAGCATGGGGGAGGGGTGGTGAGTGGGATCCATGTGAACCAAATAGATTTTGTGTAAGCTAAGTTGAAGGCACATTTTCCTGTAAGCCTCAGTGATAAGGTCACAGCATGGGTCACCTGAGACATATTGGTTGTTTTTAGGCCCCGGGGAATTCTGTTTAATGCTTCATTTTTTTCTTTCTAATTACTCCCTTTATTGATCTTAATATATTTTGGTAAAAAAAAATTTTTTTACATGAAAATAATAAATGATTCAACAATTTATAAGTGGCCTGCGTAAAATAAAAAAAAATTTTTTAAACGATTTTGTTTTAAAGGATTCTCAGGGTGTCATGTCTCAGTTTTTTTCCAGCTTTCCAGGTTATATTGAGATTCAAGCTGTTATTAATTTGATGAGAGTTGAGCTCAAAAGCAGCATATACGAAGGTTTGAAGGAACTCAACACAGACACTGTGTGGGACAGAAATGGGTACACTGATAATTCACACACAAGAGGTTTATATAACATCTATCTAGGACTGCAGACAGCAGGGGCATTATACATCTTTTGAAGAAACATTGTAATTGTAACGGTCTCACAGAGCATGCTTTGGAGAATATTTCCTTCACCCAGAGTGGCTTACATCACTTGTTGAGACCCAGATATCATGGATTTTCTGTCCCTGGATATACAGCAGGGTGATAGATTAGCTGCTGCCACTACTTAAACATAAAGCGAATGTGGTGAAGACTATGGGATCAATGGACAGGGCAATAGAACAGATAGAAAATTCATACATTGAAAGAGCAACTCAGCTGTTCTATTATCAAGATGACTCTTGGTTGGCTACTGAAGAAGGGGACGGATTACATGTGGGAATATCCCGAGTGCCTTGATGTCGGTTCTTGATTCATTCATTCTCTAAGAAACATATGGTGAGTTGTTTGGTTCTGAAAGAGTAAGGGCAATGTAGATGATCAGTAGTCCTTGTGCCATGGAAGAAACAGTTGGTATACATAATCTTTTTTTGGTGCACCTATGAGTCTAACCAGGGTGCTATAAATGTAAAATATTCTGCTTTTTATAACCCTTTAGATTATTATACATTGAATATTTTTAAATACCGTTGCTATAGTTTAACATTCTTTTTCTTTATTTTTTGTTTGTTTTGGTTTCAATAGCGTTCCCCCTATGAGGATTATGAAGAAGATCCTAACTACTTGTTTGAAGAGTTAAATGACCAGTTTGATTCTTTGTATATGTATGACGTTCCATCGGCACATTCTGGCAACCCTATACTCGACCGCTTCAACCAAGTCATTCATGTACTTAGTATGAATCCTGGCAACATGGAGGAATACCTTCGCCCTGTTTGTGACATGATTCGTACCAGTTCTGATACGACAGAAATTGCTAATGATGTTGCTGAAAGTTTGTTTAATCAGGTATTTGACAGTTTTGGTTTTCTTTGTTTTAAAAGGGTTACTATCTCAAAACTGTTTTGACAGGAGGCCAGTTAACTTTTGCCAGATGTTTTCATTATGTTCTTGTTAGTGTATTGACATTTTTTTTAAATAATTAAAAAAAAAAAAAAACCTCAGTTTTATATCCTTTTAGGGAGTGGCTAGACATTCGCCTGCGGATCAGAGGTCGTGGATTCGCTTCCTGGCAGAGCCGGACTTTTTTCAAAAATGACCTAGGCTCTCAGATCGATCCAACCTTGAGTGGGTACCGGGTGCAGTCCCGGGAAGTAAAGGTGGCTGGCATGATGCTAACGACCTCACCCATCTTGTGCCAAGTGGTCTGTAAAATATAGGTCTAGCCCAATATGCCATATGCTCTTAAAGGCGGAAAAGGGTACTTTAGTTTACTTTTTACTATGTATCCTTGTTAAGTGAGATGAATTCAAGAGGAGTAAAGCAGTAAGAAGAATGTCTAATCAATCACTAGCATCAGCAGTTGATGGAGAAGATGGCGCTTACTTGGGAACATTCTCAGAAGAGACCATGAATCACAAATCCGGAACAGAAATGGGAAATTGAAGGATTGAGGAAAGACATCCAAGAGAAACCCTAAGGCGAATGTTGATTAGAGGAGCAAGAGGTGATAGACTGATTCTATCCATGATATTGAACTGATGGCACAATGATAGAACGGAATGGAGAAACAGACTGTGAGCTCTGTGTTACATATATAATGGCACAACAAGGTAACGAATGAATGTATATCCTTGCAGGTTGACACAACACAGTCCCAGTATTTGTTGATTGTTTATGGTTTTACATGGTTATTTAGCGTTCACTAGTTTGCCATTTATACTAAATGAATGATGCTCATACTGTTGTCAGAATTAACACACAGCAGTCTGCTGCCAGATGCTTTTTATAAATGTTTTTGTTGTTGTTTGTCACAAATGCCTGCATTTACCACTTTTTAGGGAAGTGTAGATTGGTGGGGGGGGGGGGGTGTCCTGAGAATTCAGGGCCCTATGGCTTATGCTGGGAAGAGAGGAAGAGGAAGGCCAAGGAGAAGATGGGTGCAGGATGTGGCAGATGATCTCCAGATGGGTGTATCAGACGCAGGACATCTTGCTCATGATAGGAAGGTTTTCCGGAGGGTTGTTATGGCAGCGAGGTTCCGCGAGGGACATGCTACTGAATGAATGAATGAATGGCTTATGCTGTCGCCTCAGACTTTTGCAGGTTAGGATGTTTAATATTTTTTTTTTACCAACATAAAATTTCTGTTACCTTAATGGAGGTCGAACTCACATGAGTGCCAGACACTGTAACCGCTCGGCCAGCTGCTAATGCTCTTTTGAACCATGGATAAATCAACATGATTTAACAAGTAAATTAATTATATATTAAGTGTCAGTCATAAAATCAGTTCAAAGTTGTGTAATGAAGATTCAGAGCTAGATAGGTTAAACAAATAGGAATGGCAAAAATACTTCAACAGAATGAGAAAAATATTAACATCTAGAGAGATAAATGTGTGATGCATTCCTTTGTACTGAAAGAGTTAAGTACTGGCTTGTTCTTCGTCTTCTTGTTCTTCTTTTTCTGCGCGTTTACCGGCAGAAAGTTCTGTGTGTTTGTCCACCTCCAGACTCTTGTCTTGTTCCAGAACCTGAGTGTTATCTGCACATCCATTTCACAGATTTCACTTATTTATATGCAGATTCTTGGTTCCTGTCCTCTCACACGGATGTACTCCAGCTTCGAAGGATACCTCCAGTTAGTCAACTCCTAGGACATGCTTGTTGAGTAGGCAGGGGATCTCTCTTTATTTGCCCTACAGTGCGGGCCCTAGAACCCAAACAGGGACTTGCTTGTTCTTTGTGGCAGATTTTCTGCCCTAATTAGCATGCCACCCTTAGTGGCTGTGGGGTTTCATCTTCGTTAAATTGCCAAACATTGACAAAGATCATTTCTGATAAAAATAATTATAAGCATATATGACTGACTTTTCCTGCCTAAATAATTTATGTTTATAAAACTAGTCTGACAAATTTTTGATTGCAGAGTATTAAAGAAGCCAATTTTCGATATACTGGAGCAAGGATATGTCAGTTCTTGAGCAGCAGTTTAAAAGGCAATCCACATTTCTCAGGATTCAAAACTATTTTTCTTCAGAGGTGAGTTTATGTAGAAATTACCAGTACCTCATATTGATATTAAACTTTTATTATCAAGCAGTATATGATTTAAAACAATTTTCTGAGAAAAATGATGGAAAAAAATATGGAATGAATTCAAAAGGAGTGAAGAAATAAGAGAAATGTCTGGGAAACCACTAGTGTCCGCAGTTATAAGACAAAAGATGGTGCTACTTTGGACACATCCTGAGAAGAAACCAGTTGAGAATCACCTAACGGGCATTAAAATATGAAATAAAGGGATTAACTCTTTGAGTCCCAAGGAACGCATCATACGTTCATAGGTTCCTACCTAGAAGCCCAATGAACGCATGATGCGCCGATTTTATTACTTTCTTCACTACCCCTTGGGCCTGTGATGCTAAACCCCCTGGACTCAGAGAGTTAAGGAGGTGAGGACGCCCCAAAGAGGAACGTTGATGAGAGAGGCTAAAGCTGCAGGACTGGATTCCATCCATGATGAACTGACTGCTTAGGATAGAATGAAATGAAGGAGTAGACTGCGAGCCCTATGTGCATAATGGCACAACAGGATAATGAATGCATGATGAGTCATTGGCTCTGTCCATTGAATTATAACAATTATCTTATGTGTTTTATACATTTAACATATTTTTTTCATAATGTGTATCATTTTCTACAGGAGCATAATTTCTTCACCTCTTTCTGTGCTGACATTTTGTTTTCTATCGAAGCTCCATTGTAGCTGTCCACTTGTACCATTTAGTTCCCTCTATTCTGTGCAGGCTAATGAATGTTTTTAGTTTATTAGTAATTACTTTAATCGCTGCCCATGTTTCAGCTCTATACATCCGTTATTAGAGCTAAATATTGTTAGTTTTAAACAATTTAAATTTCTTTTTACTTTAACAGATTTCCGTAGATTATTACATATGTTGAACAATCTTGATCTTTCGTCTGTGTTGTGATTAGGTGTCAGAAAGAATACAAGAGGCGTGGGGAGCTGAAATCTGGGAGTCCAGAAGATCAGGAGAGGCTGAGAGCATTGGCCATGTTTATGGCAGAAGTTTTTTTGAACGTGGAGGTATAACATGATTGTGTTTATGTAAAGCGCTCTTTTTTGTACCAGTGATGCATCAGACATATGATGCTTGACCCACATGTTTAAATAGACTTAACTGTGGTGGCGACTGTTGGCTTTGGCACCTCTAGCAACTGCAATATGCATTTAATGCGTGTGCGTATTTCTGGATTGTTCCGGGACTGTTTGTTCACCAGTCTTTTTAAATGGTACTGTGAGATACATTTCATTTGACTTTCACTGGCACAGGAACAGAGCAAGTATGGGGTAACCCGATTGCGGTGATGTTGAAACCTCGACTAAGACTTAAGATTTAATAGATCAGTTCGCACTTGATGGGCCATGGGGTCAGCATTTTGTTGGCTACATTTGCTTCCTGGCAGCCATTTTAGGGTGGACTAAGAAAGAAGAAAAGGTCAGTTATAAAAATCTGCCTTGAAGTAGATTTAAACCTAAGACATTTTCAGTTTAACAGGCATATTTCTACCCACTGTGCTACTAGATACACCCTAACAAGGATCCCACTAGATACTGTGTTTCCCCAGGCATAGGATGCACTTATTTTTCAACATTATAGGGTCTAAAACCAGTGTGCTTCTTTTAAAATGGTAGTCGATTTTTACCACGATTTGTTAGAAACTATCCCATATGGGGCCTCATTTGGGAATGCCAGTTCAAGGGTGACATAAAAATGGAAAACAAAAGTTCTTTCTCACTGTAATAGTGTGTGAGCTTGTTTTCATGCTCATTGTTTTGCACTTATTGCATTAGGTTACATTTTACCCCTTAATGTTTCAAAAGATTTTCTTGCAGTGCTGAATTCAAGTGTAAAGTGATCCAGTTTGCAAAAGTGAATGGAAATCATGTTACTGAATGTAAATTTGGTCTCTTCCAACTAAGAAAACTGTCTGAGACCAGCTAAAGAATTATTATATGGAAGATAGTGATTTTTCTGGATTCTGCGATGAATAAAACATTCAGTAACTTTATGTAATCATATTCTCTTTTTTCTTCAAAAATTTATGGTCCCAGAAAAAAAGTGAGTCTTGTAAATATGGTATGTATAGTTAAACCCAGCCTCATAAGTTAAACCCGATATCCCACTTGTCCGGTGGAGAAGAGTATTGCTAGGATGCTAGCCTTATCTTAGAATGAGGACACGCAGCATGAAAACTTTGTTATGGCAGAGTAGACCAAGCCTTATTCTTGGTTGGCAGCTGGTCTGCAAGGGAAGCTTCGACAGGTGGACAGAAGAGTGCTTTTCTGATTCGGCAGCTTCAGCAGCAGGCTTTGTTCAAACATATTGGGGCTACCTTTTCCACTTAGAATTAACAAAGCAGGCAGAGAGAGGGTCTATGCTGCACGGACAGCAAGGTCTCAGCAGTTCTGCCCAGGCATTGCCCTATGGAAAGATCACTGTGGGCTACAATTTGATTCCGGAGCCTCTCCGTGGAACACTGTCGTCTTGAAAAATGGAAAGGGGGAAAAAAGAAAATTTTTTTCAGACATTGTGAGTTATAGATGGTGGGGACAGCTGGTGACTCTATCGTATGTTTCCATGTCTAGGAAATGTGAAAACCCTTGGCTTCCTTTACTTATTGCAGTATCTGTTAAATATCCTGTTCTCAGCATATTCCTGTGGATGTTTTAGGTAATCCATTGTTATTCAAATTATGTTATTTTGTAAAAAAAAAAAAAAGGTAAAGATGGGAGATATGAACCAGCTTTATTGCACACGGTTATAAACCAAAAGGGCTCTGCCACCAGCACGGACGGCTGATAAGAAACTGTCCGCACGTAACTCCGTAGCTACATTGACGTTCCTTCATTCACCACAGAGTGGTAACCCATTTCCTAGAGCATGGGTGAACCCCGGGAACCGCCCAGTTTCGAACACCGACAGTGGCTGCAGCAAGTTGCAGCTGCATCTGAAAGTGAGCCTCCTATCGACTGCGCTAATGCGGCTCCTATGTTATTTTGTTTCTTACCTTATTTCTTTATGCCACTGAGAATTTAAAAAACCCCAAAAGGGAGCTATTTACTTCTTAAAATACTGAAGTGTTAGGTGATTTTATTTTGTGGGTCATGCATAATGAGATTGAATGAACAGTTTTCTCCATCGCCACCTCTACTTTATAGCCAAATTATTTTTAAAAAAGACATCTAGATACTCATCTTGGGCTGTTCCAGTTACAGAGCCATTTTGCCACTGCTCAAGACTTAATTTGCATCATCTTCTTCGCTTACACCAGCTGTAAATTCTGCATAAATTTCTGGTTTTTCTCTTACTTCTGGACTTTTAGCCTTGTTCCTGAACTTGAGTTTTGTGTGCACACAGATTTGATGATTCCTTACCTTTCAGGCAGATGCACTGAGGAGACACCTCAGTAACCTTTTGCGACATGCTTGTTAGAGAGGGTCAGTTTATCACCCCCCCCCCCCCCACCCCTCCAAATGGTGCCTCAGAACCTGCACAGGGAATAATCCAGATGAGCAATTACACCAACCACTATTGCAGCATAGTTCTGTCCCAGTATTGCATGTTTTTTGTAATACTAATTGATTTATATTTTCATTACTCTCAGACTGAGTTGCCAGACGGGACCGTCCAGCGCTTGCACTTTTTACCCAGCACACTGATTGATCTGGTAAAAACCCTGCTCTCAAAGCCATCAGACTTGGATGTGAAGTGTTCATGCCAGCTGCTGAAAGTAAGACTGGGTCATATCTTGACTGCACTGTAAACCATAACTGCAGTTTTTATAACGTTAATGTTATCTATAAAGATAGAAAAACCATCTGTGTGTTTTTCGTCTGTGAGAAAGGTTGTGTTTGAGTGAATATTTGTGTGCATGCATGTCTCTTGGGATGGTGCATTGTTAATGTTATGTCCTTGATAGTTATCTAATCCATATAGGACAGTAGCAGTAGTTACTTTTTATTTTTTAGCATGAATAGCTGAATGAGGTGCCGGGGATTTCTCCCGCTGGTTTCATCCTAAAAGTGGCTCTTTATATCAGTTGGTGTCAATCCTCCAGGCTGCAGTCCTGGAAAGATTGGTTGGGGACACGGTAAATATAACTGTTTTATAGAAATCTAAGGAAAGATTCTCAAAATACCATGGACAAAGAAAAAGAAAAAAAAATACTGACATCCTAAAATATCTGACCTTCAGAGAAGTTTGGCTGGTAAGTAGCATCTTGTCTAAAATATTTGGCCATATCAAGTGCCCCAGCAAATTGGTAATAATAGCAGCAGAAGGCATCATGCCAGGAGAAAGGGGAAGAGGCTGAACAGCACAAATATGGGTGCAGAATATGTGACACCTTGGATAAGAAAGTGCACAATGAGGAATATCTTATGAGAGACCAAGTTTCTTTCAGGCTGACTCTGAGGAGAATGACATTCAGGATCCATTCTTAAATATGCTCTTTGTCAGATGTCACATGAATTATCCAATTTCCGTTTATACAGCCGCATTGTTAATATGACTCTTCTTGTTTGCTTTTCATTAGTTATAAATATTTTTCGCCATTTTATCATTTCCATTGCATTTGAGCAAGATCATGCTCTATTTTAATTTAAATTTTCTGATTCTTCTTCTTCTTTGTGCTCCACCGGCTGTTTACTCCGGAGGAAAGTTCTGATTATTCATCTAGTCGTGGTCTTGTTCCAGTTTTTTTACATTAAGCAGACTGTTGGTTCCTCACCTCTTAGGCAGATACACTCTGAATTTGAAGGACACCCCCCTGATTTGACCTAACTTTTGTGACTTGCTTTTTGGAGGGGGTAATGGGTCAATTTTTTTCCCCCCATTAAATAGAGCTCTGAAACCCGCATGAGGAGAGATTAAGATTCATTTAACTGCTGTTGATGTAACCCTTTGTTGTATATTTAAAATAAACTTTATAATATGCTGAAGATACACATTTGAGAAAGTGATGTCTTAAGAGGAACTGTGAACAGTAATGAGAGAGATGCTGGATTTTTTACTTCATATGTGGTCCCAAAACACTTGCACAGCATACAGTAAGATCAGTATTTATCTGAAAACCGAGCAATGGAAGGAAGTAGAAAACTTAAATCAAAACCATACAGAAGAGCACTATAAATGTCACATATGCAGACTTTTGTGGATATGAACAAATCGTCATTTCACAGAAGAAGAAGAAAAAAAAAACAACAGTGAAATCACTAATATTATTAGGTAGTTTAATGTAAAGCTGCTTGAATTTGCATTCTAGAAATATAGAACACATTGACAAATAGTTCAAGTACAAGATAGTTATAGTAAATATTGTGCATACCTTTTGATTTGTGTGAGTGTGAAAGAACACCCACAGATTTGTTGGAGTATACTGACAAAATTTAACTAGCTAGCTGTCTTAATGGAGGCTGGCAGAACAGAAAAGAACTCTTGGCTCTCAGGTGGGGGGTTTGAATCCTTGCTAATGTTTTAGAAGGGTTGTATTTTTTTGTCAGGGGCAATAATAAAATCCTAACCTGTACAGTCCATAGCGACTACACTAGCCATGTGGCCCTAGATTCTCAGGCCTTAAGATACCTCTGCCTATACCGAAGTGTGGACAATACAGGCAGTAATAGCAGTTTTTAAAGTGGAATTTAATGTACCTGATAGTATTCTTGTAGTATTTGTTTCTACCGTTTATTAAGCTTTTATTCTTTTTAATATATACAGTGTTTTGCGGACACTGTATTTATGTACAAACTATGTACACATTCTCAATTTATGTAAATACATTTATGTATAAAAAATTATGTATACATTATATTGATGCTCACACTATATGTACACACTGTATTTATGTACACATTATATTTATGCGCACACTATATGTACACACTATATTTATGCACACATTGTATTTATGTACACATTATATGTACACACGGACCTTTCACTTTTCCCGGTCTAGGATGAGAGTGACTTCCCTTGTCATTCATGCTTCCTCAGGTTGCTAGACCTCTCCTTTGTTGCAGGAGCGTTACGATATGACTTGGTTTGGCGTTCACTCAGCATATGTAATGTTTGTGGGAGGTTGTGTTGTGAGTCTATTTCAGACGCTGCAGTCGCCAGTGTACAAGTAAAAAGTACTGCAGGGAAAGCGCCGCTGGCACAACAATTCTTGACTTACAAGGAGCGTAGCAATAGAAAAATATTGCTGTTTTTCTATACCTCAACAGTTTTTCAAGTAGCAGAAAGTGATAATAATTTAGCAAGCGAGTGGTGAAAAGACGAGAAAAGAAGGAACGGTTATACTGTCCACAATAAGGAAAACATAACTTCCCCCCTAACATAGGAGAGGTCCGGTGACCTGAGGAGGCATGAATGGCAAGGGCCCGGAAACGTGAAGTAGACACACTATATTTATATACACATTTTATTAATATGCACTATATGTACGCACTAAATGTATGTACCCATTGTATTTGTGCAAACATATGTGCACACTATATTTATGTACACATTGTATTTATGCACACAGCATGTGTACACAAATATTTGTGTATACATTATATTTATGCACATGCTGTATGTGCTTACTATATTTATGTGCACATTATATTTATGCATGCAGTATATGTGCACACTATATTTATGTTACACATTTATGTGCATACTATATGTACACATTGTATTTATGCACACATTTTCTGTTGACAGCTGGCTGGTGGTCTGATCGAAGATGTAGTTAAAAACTCTCCTGAAGATTGTGTCAAGTTTGAGGAGATTTTCACTCAGCTCCAGTCTATGCAGTCCAACAATATACTCACAGAGTAGGTTTTTTGTGTGCGCCTGTTGCTTTTTACATTGTTTTTTATTATTATTTTGCTGGTTTGTTGTCTGTCTCATTTTTTTTTTTTGGGTCACTGGTCATTTCAGAGTTAAAACAGCTCCATCAGTGTCATATATTATGTCCTTTGCAGAACATCATTCTCATCCTAAAGAGCCATTGGCTCCCCTATCAGACTTTCTTGCTTTTGTTAATTAGCCTTTGTTCCAACTTACAGCAAGACAGGTCACCACATAACTGCTGCATTCCTGTGCCTGTGGAAATCACACAAAATATCCTTTACTGTCCTTGAAAAAATAGTGAACAGTGTGTGGTTTCCCAGCAAAATCTTGAATCTTGCATATGGGAGCAGCTATCAGATATGCTAACATTAACGGTCTCACACCAGAATTGCAGCTCACCGTTGGTGCAAACAGTCTGTCACAAAAGCTGGCAATGCTCCTGCAAATTACTCGCCAGTTCTGAACATAATCCGCCAGCCGTCATTATAGTGGTGTCAGCAACATACCGCATATGTGGATGTCATTTTTCTTTGTCTTCTTGACTGCTAATTCTACTGTAGAAGCCATAGTTTCTTGCTCTTGGTTTGTGAAATTTTCACGCCCCTGGTATCCTTGAGATTCCAAGTCCATCATCATGCTGGTCAACCTGGTTCTTGCAGGAACTATATCCTCCTTTATTGTTCTCTTCAAACTATAGAGGCATTTAATATGGCGGAAGAATGTGATGTTTTTAAGACTCAATTCAATGGTCATTGTTGTATGAAGCATGAATATGCATTAAAACGAACCTGAATGATTTGTGGGAAAAGGATATAGGGGGAGAGAAATAGCACAGATTCTTGGTAGGCTGTAGTCATCATGGCATTGAAAAGCACACAAAATGTTGTTTGTTGATAATGACAGTCCATTACAACATGCCAGTTGGCAAAATGCTTGATAATGGTATACTTTCATATATGTCGGTCTGTTCATCCATCCAAAGAGAACAAATAACAGTTTGGTTTGACATCATCTGGGTAGTCTGGGTAGTCATTTTTATTGAGTTCTGTATAGTGAAGAAGGGTGTAATCCACACAGTTATGTGATACCTTATATCTAATACCTTATTTGTTTCAGAAATACAAAGTTCATGGTTGGTACAGTCATGAAGTTGAAAGACAGTGATTGGAATCGATCACCATCTCCCATTAAACATGCTGGCATTTCATTTTTATCAGAAGCAAATACTTTTCAGGTAGACATGGTGTGTTGTTGTTCTTTGTCTTCCTGACAACTACTACAACTCCTTCTGCTACTACTAATACTAATACTACTTAAGATATGGTAATAGGACCTTTGTTTTTTGAAAAGATACCAAACGAAAAGTAGAACCAGTCAACTTCACATTATCACAAACAGAAACAAGTTAACACTCCAGCCAGAGTGCCTTCATCATCATCGTCATTAATTTCCACTGCTACCGTTAAGCATTGGGGATAGGAACAGTTTGCGATCCATTGTTTGATGGGCATCTGTGACTACTGTCATTCCATGTCAATGTAGAAACTCTTTAATGTCATCAATCCATATTCTCCTAGGACAGCCTCTTGCTCTCACTTCAGATCCTTTCATGTGTAGCGCCAAACCATTTGATCTTCTGCTTCTCAGTGAATTTGCTGCATGGTGTTGTTACCTTCATCAGCACACATTGAATATAGATTACCAAAGAAATGTACATGAATGCATGTAATGACAACTGAAGTATCTCCAATAAAAATCATATATCTGTCCGGCTGACACATGTATGACCACCGGAAATAAATACTAGCCTGAAAAAAGCTGTGAGAGGGTAGGGCTATACCTAAATAAATATTAGATAAAACTGTGTTGGATGTTAAGATCCCTAGGCGAATTGGAGCCCATTAGGTGGTTCTTAAGTGACATGTGTCCATCCATAATTAATGAATTAATTAAATGTTGTACTGTCTTGTATCACCAGGCTTCAGAACCAGTGTTCTACAATCAAGCAGGCACACCCTGTAGCCGCACAGAAGCTGGGTTCCCTGAGGAAGACACTAAAGATGATACCTATATTCTTAACGAGGAAGAAGAGGCTGCCTACTTGAGTTGGCAGATAGAACAGGAGTTGCTGACGGAGGACCCAGGGGCATTGCTGATAAATGATACAGGCTATGATTCCTATCAGTTGTATGTATATTTTTTTATTTAGGGAGTACCATAAGTTTCCATTCTTTATGGAAATAAAGATATCACGAATACAAGCATAATTCTTTTTCTTCCTAATATCTAGAAATCATGAGTTCTTAACCCTTTGGCTCGGTACTATGGATGTCGCAACCCTTTGGCCTTGATGCCATGATAAATACTGTAAATCTGCATAAATTCCAACAGTGCTTAAGCAATGGAGGACACATATCAAAATGTGTTTCAAAACAGCGGTAATCGTGTAAAGCATATTATATAAAACAAAATGATTATTATTAAATAAATATTATGTCCTGTTTATGGAAACTTATAGGACACCCTAATAAATGTAACATTGTTTTTATATACATATTTTAGAATTTTTTTTGGGGTGTGTTTCTGTAGTAGTGGTATATTCATTTATGTTTTTTTAGTTGTAGAGGAACATGTATACATCCTCAAGTATCTGTAGATTTGTGTTTCCTCTCTCTCTCTCTCTCTCTTTCTCTCTCTGTCTCTGTCTCTCTCTCTCTGTCTCTCTCTCTGTCTCTCTCTGTGTCTCTCTCTCTGTGTCTCTCTCTCTCTGTCTCTGTCTCTCTCTGTGTGTCTCTGTCTCTCTCTCTCTGTGTCTCTCTCTCTCTCTCTCTGTCTCTTTCTCTCTATTATATATATATATATATATATAAATATATATATATATATAAATATATATATATATAAATATATATATATATATATATATATATATATATATATATATATATATATATATATATATATATATATATATATATATATATATATATATATATATATATATATATATATATATATATATATATATATATATATATATATATATATTATATATATAAAATGAAAAGCCATCTGTATTTCTGTGAGGCAAGACCTCCTCCCAAATGGTAACCATAAGAGGGGGGAAATTTGCGACTGTCTTTCGGGCTGCACATTCTAAGTTAACTTCTTTTTCTGATCTCGTAATTCCCCCTCCCCCTTCCTTTCCCAAATGGGGCCCATAATCCCAGACGGGGAATTTTATCATATCAGAGTAGAAATACTGACATTTTGAAAGATCTGAACATAAAGAAGATTGGCCAGTAAACAGAATCTTGTCTCGGAAACTGAAATATTTTGTTCATATCAACAACCATGTCAGATTGCACACACAAAGTATAAGGCATTGTACCAGGAAGAATAGGCAGGGGCAAACCATCACAAAAATGGGCACAAAATATGACTCCCTGAAAATGAAAGGGCACAAGAGCTGGCGAGAGACCAAGTTTCTTTCAGGCAGACCGTGATGAAAGTGATGTTCTGCAAAGGACCTGCTACATCATGATGATTAGTTTACAAGTAATGATTTTACTTATTCTCCATGTTTGTAATCCATATAAAATTCCTCATTTGACATTAGAATACTCTTTTCTCATTATGTCTTCTTTATATTTCAGTGATGAAAATGATGATGGAGGGATGGGTGATGAAATGGAAGCTGCTTATGAAGAGTTCTTGCAGAAACAAAGCTGTTTGCAAAGCTACCAGCCTCATCTGGTGGGTCAGTCACCTCCAGCTGTACCCCACACATTCAGTGTAAGCTATCATTCTCTTTATAGGTGTTGTGCATACGCTTCATTAATTCTGTTTGCTGGGTTTGATCCAGTCTACAAGTGATTTGGCAGCAGACTACCTTGCACTGGTTTCAACAATGGTACAGAGAGCAGACTGTTCAGAAAGTAGTGGCAAACTACTGAACATAAAATTGACTAATTAAATCAAAAACAGTCCAGAAAATACTAGGATTGGTTATGTAACATCTAGTGTAGGATCTAAAACTAACTTTCTTTACAGGAGAACAGTTTAATTTCCACAGATAGCTAAAAGGTGTGTAAATGTTTCAAAGGAGGTGAAGACCTGAAGACAGCTTATCAGAAAGAGGTGTTTTTTTTGGCCACACACTGAAAAATGTGACATCTGGAGTATATTTGACCATATATAAGGCATATTTGACCATGTAAAAGGCATACTTGGCTGTGTGTGAGGTGTACTTGACCGTGTGTGAGGTATACTTGACTGTGTGTGAGGTATGCTTGACTATGTTTGAGGTATTCTTGACATTCTGAGACATATTTGTGTGTGAGATATGCTTGACTGTGTGTAAGGTATACTTAATTGTGTGAGGTACTTTACTGTTTGTGAGGTACTTGACTGTGTAATGTATACTTGACTACTTGACTGTGTGATGTGCTTGACTGTGAGGTACTTGACTGTATGTAATATATACTTGACTGTGTGTGTGGTATACTTGACTGTGGGGTATACTTGACTGTGTGTGAGCTATACTTGACTGTGTGAGGTATACTTGACTGTGGTATACTTGACTGTGTGGTATACTTGACTGTGGGGTATACTTGACTGTATGTGAGCTATACTTGACTGTGTGTGTGGTATACTTGACTGTGTGTGTGGTATACTTGACTGTGTGTGTGGTATACTTGACTGTGGGGTATACGTGACTGTGTGTGAGATATACTTGACTGTGTGTGAGGTATACTTGACTGCATGCAAGGTGTGAGATGAGGTGTACTTGACTGTGTGTGGGGTATACTTGACTGTGTCTGTGTGGTATACTTGACTGTGTCTGTGTGGTATACTTGACTGTGTGTGAGGTATACTTGACTGCATGCAAGGTGTGAGATGAGGTGTACTTGACTGTGTGTGTGTGGTATACTTGTCTGTGTGGTATACTTGACTGTGTGTGAGGTATACTTGACTGCATGCAAGGTGTGAGATGAGGTGTACTTGACTGTGTGTGTGTGTGTGGTATACTTGTCTGTGTGGTATACTTGAATGTGTGTGAGGTATACTTGACTGCATGCAGGGTGTGAGATGAGGTATACTTGACTAGTAACAAAATATACTTGACAGTGTAAGAGATATACTTGACTGTGTAAGAGATAAAACTTGGCTGTAAATAAGATATACTTGACTGTGTAAGAGATATATTTAACCTTGTAAGAGATAAAACTTGACTGTGTAAGAGATAAAACTTGACTGTAAATAAGATATACTTGACTGTGTATGAGGCATACTAACCTTTACTGATAATTTTCAGCATCTTCCACCAAACATGTCTGCATCCCAAAACTTAACTATCTACCAGCAACAGCATGCACCTACATCCACCTCTCAACAGAATCAGATACCACAGCAATACCAGCAGCTGCAGCAAGACAGCCAATATCAGCAGCAGCAGTACCACCAGCAGCTACAACAAGACAACCATCAGCAGCAGCAGCAGTACCAGCAACAGCAAGATCAGCAACAGTACCAAGCTCAGTATCCTGGCAATGACCGCTTCCATTATCGTAGAGTGTAATAATAGTCACTAGTGTTGAGTTCAGAAGTAGACCACTTGATTCTTTGATCTTGTGTTTTGGAGTATGTCTTTTCATTACTCTTTATATGTTCTGAGAATTGTTGCTTAATGTTTACTTGATCTTTTTTCTTTTGTGGTCTCATTGTTACCAGGTTGTAACCCAGTGTTGTGGTTTTCTGTATTTGTCTTGTGCTTCTTGGGTGGCTTGATTGATGGGTTTGTTCAACTTTTTGCCGGTTTCCTCTACATCATTTATCCATATCTTTCTTGGTCTTCCTCTCACCTTCCACCCAGGTGTACTTCTTTAAAAGTCTCATATGCAGCTTTTCTTGATAATTCTAAAAGCAAAATGTCAGTTGGGTAGTTTAGCTGAAAATTTTTAATTGGTACCATCAGTATCATAGTTTGTTGCTGTTTAATGAAGAAGGGAGACAGAGCACATATGGAAATGACCCAAGTGTAGTAATGTCAGTTTCTTGTTTCATTCATTCATTAGGTAGTTTGGCAGATAGATTAACTGGTAGGTCTGCCTTTATTTGACCTGTTGCTGCCCAAGGCATAGAGTAACTTGATACTCCAGAAACATTCATTTAGCATCCCAGAGGGGGCAAACTGATCTGTTCGTCTAAAACATGCATCAGAACACACTACATGACACTTAAAGACAACATAGGGATAAGCAGGAGAAAGCAATTTTCTTAGACCTGTAGGCTGTAGTCAGTTATCCTGCAATGAACACGCCAGACTTGAATGAGGTCCCCGTGTGGTTCTGGGGCCCCATTGTGGAGAAAACAAGAATAGACCCACTGCCTCCCCAACAAGCATATCATGGGATTCGACTAACTGGGGTTATTCTTTAAAGTCTGAGTACATCTGCCTGAGAGGCAAGGAACCAAGAGTCTGCACACAGATAGGCCAGTTCTGTGAAATACATATTCACACAAAACTCAGGTTTTGGAACAAGACTAAGGTCTGAAGATGGGCAAACATCTAGAACTTTCTGCTGGAGTTTACAGCCAGTTAACTCGAAAAAGAAGAAGAAGAAGAATGAGCTTCTCACAGAGGTCATATCTTGTAGACAATACTGGCAGAAACTTCACACACATTGGGTTACGTCTTGATGCCGTTGCATTACTTTACTACTTTCTTATAATGTTTTGTTTTCTACTTATGGTGGGAGCCTCGGTAGCATAGTGGCTAGATGCTCCCCTGCCATCTTGGAGGTCTCAGATTCAAATCTGCATGGAGTCAGTGTGTTTTCAAAATTTACTTAGGCTCCCAGGTCCACCCAGCCTAAAACGGGTAGCAGGTAATGTCCTGGAAAGTAAAGGTGGCTACCACGATATTGACCACTTCACCTACTGAATCGGTTGGTCTATAAAATGGAGTCTAGCTTCATATACCCATCGCTGGTGTCAAATGGGACCTTGACTTTTACTTTATTCCTCTACTTTTTAGGTTGGGGGGGGGGGGGGGGGGGGGGGGGGGGTTGATTGTTTGTTACATGGTTTTGTTTCTAATACTTCTGTGTTTGACTAGAACCAAGCAAATGCAGAGCCCCATATGAGTGCCTTTTCTAATGTCATGAGAACAATATGTGCAGTTACACACCCTAGATATCTCAGGCACCCTTAAGACATTGGTTCTACACAAAACATGAATTAACACCCCATCCAATCATTGCTAGCTAGGTCTGTCTGTTGCTTTACTTCCAGTATATTCTGTAGTTTCTGAACTGCTGGTTGTTAACCATTTAATCTCAGTTCCAGCTTGATAGAAAATGGGTCATCCTAGCGTTGCTCCGTTGCTGTGCCACTGAAAACCACATGGAATGTCCATCACTGTCCTTTAAGAAAAAAAAAAACTTGGAAGAGACTGCAGTCTCAGGCAAGTCGACAGTGTACACACACATTTGATGTGTAAGGCAGCCGTCAGAAGTGCCAACACAAATTATCCACCACTAGAATTGTAGTTTGTCGTCTATGGAAGCAGTAATTACAATGGATATGCTGTTTGTACATCCCTTTATGTTATTCTACTTGCATCATTGACTACCTATTGCTCATATGCCCTCAAACTTTCCTTCTCGTATAATTGTTATAAGATCATTGTTTTTTGGGAACCTCAGTATCGTAGTGGCTAGACCTTCACCACCAGTCTGGAAGTCTTGAGTTTGAATCACCATTAGGGTGAATTATTTTATAAATTTCTCAAGCTGAACATGGCTACCAGGTAATGTCCTGGAAAGTGAAGGTGACCGGCAGAATGTTTGTTGACTGCATAACCCCACAATTGCTGTACAAATATGAGTCTGGCATCATATGCTCTGAGCACTGCTGGCGTATAAAGGGTGGGTTTTTTTTTTTTTTTTTAATGAAAAACATGTCTTTCAATGTGGTCACTTTCTTTCAACAAATCTATTTTCAGCAACACTTTTTTTTAAAATGTGGACTTTATCTGTTTAAAGAATAGAAAGGAAGTATTGACCACACATGTGGTCAAGTCACCATGGACATCCAGCAGAGAAATTCTGAATGTTTCTTCATACTTATTGTTGCTTTGCTAGTGTTTGTGTGTAAATAATATTAATAGGCATGATCGCCCAAGCCAGTCGGCAAGACACTTGATTATGATGGTTATGTAAGTATATTTTTTGCAGATATCTTTCACATTGTTTGTGACGGAAAAAAAAGTTAATAAGCAATTACAGCTTTAAAAATGACAACTGTGATGCTTATTTATGCATGTGGGGTTTCAAAATAATATTATTTAGTTATTTTTTCAGTGTTTCCTTTATAAGATTAATATTTATTTTTACCAAAGCCATTTTTTGAATGTGAAGTGCCTGATAGAATTATGCATCCCCAAAATATATGACTACACGACTTCCTTACTTGTTACTTACAGTAGTTAACCAACACAGAATTAGGTTATCAGTGCCACACACTGTTTGATATACTGAAGATGGGATCCGAGCGCTTATGGAGTTGTCCATTGTGGCATGAGGATAATAGGTCGATTGACTAACTTGTAACTTGTCCGTTGTGACATCCTAGCATGTAGGTCCAAAACATTCGGCCTCTGTCCTGTGTTGCAAGAGCCACCTCAGTGTGTCCATGCTCTGTGTATCCATGCTCTGTGTATCCATGCTCTGTGTATCCATGCTCTGTGTATCCATGCTCTGTGTGTCCATGCTCTGTGTGTCCATGCTCTG